AAAACCAAAGAGCTGATGGTGGATTTCCGCAGGCGCAGACTCCTCCCCCCAACACCGGTGAACATCCAGGGAAAGGACATTGAGATGGTGACATCTTATAAGTACCTGGGTGTTCATCTTAACAATAAACTGGACTGGACTGATCACATAACAGCACTGTACAGGAAAGGCCAAAGCAGACTCTACCTGCTGAGGCGGCTCAGGTCTTTTGGAGTGCAGGGGGCGCTCCTGAAGACCTTCTTTGACACTGTGGTGGCATCAGCCATCTTTTACAGAGTGGTCTGCTGGGGCAGCAGTGTCTCGGCTGCAGATAGGAAGAGACTGGACAAGCTGATCAAGAAGGCCAGCTCTGTCCTGGGATGCTCTCTGGACTCTGTGCAGGTGGTGGGAGAAAGGAGGATGACAGCCAAGCTGTCGTCTCTGAGGACTAATGACTCCCATCCTCTGCAGGAGGAGATAAAAGCTCTGGAGAGCTCCTTCAGCGATAGACTGATTCACCCAAAGTGTGTGAAGGAACGCTATCACAGGTCCTTCCTGTCTGCTGCTGTCAGGCTACATAACCAGCACTACTCAATATGCAAGCACTAAACAGGGCCAAGAAGATCCTGTCTGACCCATCCCACCCAGGCCATGGCCTCTTCAATCTCCTGCCCTCTGGGAAGCGATACAGGGTATTGGAGAGCAGGACAAACCGGCTTGGAAGCACCTTCTATCCATGGGCAATCAGACTTTTGAACACTTAACCTACAGCGGGTGGTGAGGACCACAGAAAAGATCATCGGGACCACACTGCCTCCTCAGAGACACTTACACTGGCCGACTTCTCAGGAAGGCCAGAAACATCAGCACAGACCCAACTCACCCCGGGCATTCCCTATCCTCCCCCCTCCTCTCTGGAAAGAGATACTGCTCTCTTAAAGCCAGAACAGCCAGACTCATTAACAGCTTCTTCCCCCAGGCCGTCAAAGCCATCACCCCAACCCTCCTCCCCATCCCACCCAAAAACTGACACTGGAACACACTAAAATACTGAGTGCAATACACTCAGTATAGTGGTTAGTGTGGGTAGTCAGACAAGCATGAACTGCTGAAGCCTCTTGGATAAGAGGTGAAAGGTCTTCTAAGACAAAACTAAGTCCAATTGTGTTCGATTCAATTGCCTTGAGAATGTGAGTTCTTCTTTGAACACAGGCGTATTTCCAGGTGGCAGTCGGGCCTCTCCACCCCATGGGCCCCAGTGCAACCCCACTGCCTGCACTGTCTATATTTACGCCCCTGAATATAAGAATATATGATTTCAAAGTCTTGTATTTATGCAACATGTCCTTTAACTGCCCGTCCACTCTGTGTTCTCCATAAATATTGAAATGCTGTGTCATGAATAAACAATGTTTCTGCCTCTGGCTATTTGCTTCACACCTGATACTTTTATGCCTCAGGACTTTTACAGTGGAGCCCTCTCAGTATGGAAATGTTTTCTCAAGACTAATAGGTTTGTTATTGGTTAGGAACAAAAGTGGGCAGGGAAACACCAGGACTGACAGAATAAAATCAGCTTATGAGTGCCAGACGTGTGTCAGTGCTTACTGTCAGACATCCAGCTCTGTTTTATAGGAATGCTTAGGTGACACTTAACTCCAGTTTGGAATTGAAGAGTTTCTGGGTTGCATCATAATGGAGGACAACATGCGCCGAGGTAGGATGGAAGAAACTCTAAGTGATGTTTAAAGTGATGTAACGTGTGATCCAGCCTTGAATTAACAGTATGTATTTATTAATTTTATGCTTTCGTCTTTTTCTTGCAGCACCACTGACTACGAACGGATCAGTCATTTTCTCACCTGAGAGTTGTGACATTGATGTTTTAGACGATGGGAGGACCATCAGTGACTTCATAGACTATAAAATAAAAGAGCGTGGTTTGTTGGTGAGTATCACAGAGTGTACACTTAAGTTTTCCCAACTATGCGCCCCAGGAGTGAGTCCTAAACCTGGAAATGAGTTCGCATTCTTGCACTTCCAATTCCTTTATTTCAAGGTCAATGAGTTCTTCGAATGTTCTTTTGGTTAGACGTCTGAAAAAAGGTCTGTGGTAACACAAGCTGAAGACAGTTTTACATTTTGCGCTATGAAATATATTATGTCAGTAAATAGCCCACTGTGAATTTAGGAGCTTTTAAGTGTCTTAAAAAAGTTGGTCACAAACAAGTGACTAAATGAGACTATAGAACATCATCACGCTGAACACGGCTTTACAGCCTTGTTGTGGTGGTGCAACACGTTCTCATCCCAAGTCGTCACGTAGTGCTACTTTGTCAGTGGACTTTCATGTCTACATATTACATGCTAGGTATCCTCCTGCGTCTGCTGCTGATATTCTGGTTTGCTGCAGCTAACGCCAGGACGTAAACCAAAGCACGTGGTTGGGTTTAGAAATAAACGCCATGATTTGGCTCTACATTCACGTAGGAAGCAAACTTCGGCTCCCAGGTGAAAGTCTGGGGTTTGTTGGACCCACCTACCTTATAAAGACTCTCCAGCTCCTTATCTGACTCTTTCCCCTTGACTGCCGTAACACTGGAATTTCTCACTTGTGGGATCAATAAAGGTGTATCTTATATTATCTGATCTTATCTTATATTACATTGTTACCGGCAGCGTTTCAAACTGACACTGTCCAGCTTTGAAATTTGCATCACCTGGCCTTTCCTAACGATGACTGTGAACAAGCTGATTAAAGGGATAGTGCACCCAAAAATGAAAATTCAGCCATTATCTACTCACCCATATGCCGAGGGAGGCTCAGGTGAAGTTTTAGAGTCCTCACATCACTTGCAGAGATCCAAGGGGAGAGGAGGTAGCAACACAACTCCACCTAATGGAGGCTGAAGGCGCCCCAGATTCAAACGTCCAAAAACACATCATTGAAACCACAAAATATCTCCATACTGCTCGTCCGTAGTGATCCAAGTGTCCTGAAGCCCCGACATAAAAAGTTGTTTGGAAAAACCTCATTTGAACTCTGTTTTTAATGGGCACTGCCTTCATGTGTGTTCACGTGCTTTCCCGTGCAAGTGCACACACATGAGCGTGGTGCCCAGAGAGGCAGTCAGAGCTACAGGCTACAATGAGGCTAAAAACAGAGTTCAAATGAGGTTTTTCCAAACAACTTTTTATGTCGGGGCTTCAGGACACTTGGATCACTACGGACGAGCAGTATGGAGATATTTTGTGGTTTCAATGATGTGTTTTTGGACGTTTGAATCTGGGGCGCCGTCAGCCTCCATTAGGTGGAGTTGTGTTGCTACCTCCTCTCCCCTTGGATCTCTGCAAGTGATGTGAGGACTCTAAAACTTCACCTGAGCCTCCCTCGGCATATGGGTGAGTAGATAATGGCTGAAGAAGTTACATTTTTGGGTGCACTATCCCTTTAAGGTCTGAGGCCCTGGGAAAAGTTGTCTGAGAGCTCAAATGCCTTGGGGTGTCCAAACATTTGGATGGTGCTCCTTATAAGTTTTTTTTTTTTTTTTCACTCTAAAATTGTTCAAAACAAAAAAAGTAAAACACTGATCTTGATTAAAATGTTGAAAAGCATGTTTAACGTCGTGTCTTTATGAGATCAGTTCATCTTCTACTCACTTAACTGCTCATAGTAAAGGAAATTTTGACCAAACTCTTGCATACCACTGTTTATTCTTAACAAAATATATAAGTATCATAAACTTAAGCACGATATCTTTGCCAATTGGACCTGCTTGAGTTTCTTGAACACGTTTCACCTTTCATCCAAGAGGCTTCTTCACTTCTAACGGACTGGTGCAGAGTCGCAGGCATTAAACTCTGTGTGGATGTGAACCCTTACAGTGTCAAGAGTCAACATTTCACACCCACAGAGTTTAAAGCCTGCGACTCTGCACCAGTCCGTTAGAAGTGAAGAAGCCTCTTGGATGAAAGGTGAAACGTGTTCAAGAAACTCAAGCAAGTCCAGTTGCCTATGATATAGCACTCAGGACTACCATGACCTGGATGACTGAGAATCTTCACCGACAAGTATCATAAGTGTTTGGTTGCCACAGAGTTTATTTTCTGCAATAATCCAAGATCCAATGGAAAAGTCCTGTTGGCTTTTTGATGATGGCGACTCTAACTTCCATGTTAACCTACAAATAAACGCCCCTACAGCACTCTGTTCTGTCAAAGTATTATGAGGTAGCTGAGATTCCTGAGATGTGCATTTTAACAATGAAATGTAATCTTTGCTTTATTCCTCCAGGACAATGAAGAGCCTTTCCATGTGGCAAATCTAGACAACATAGTGTCGAGGTACTACAGGTGGATCACTAACCTCCCCCGAGTCAAGCCTTTCTATGCAGTGAAGTGCAACAACACAGCAGCAGTTCTGAGGATGATGAATGTTTTGGACACTGGTTTCGACTGTGCTAGCAAGGTATCTCAGAGATCATCTAGCTCTGTTTTCTTTGTCATAGAGAAACGTTGTCTCCTTCTCAGCTGCTCATCTGAAACATGTTTGGGTCTAACACAGGGTGAGATCCAGATGATGCTGTCCCTCGGAGTGACACCTGAGAAAATCATTTACGCACATACAACCAAACCGATGTCACACATCAGATACGCCTGTGCTCATGGAGTCGATAAGATGACTTTTGATAATGAGGATGAACTCCTAAAAATTTCTCT